GGTGGGGGTGGGGTGGGTGGGGCCAGCACCAGCCTGAGTGCAGAGGGCAAGGCCTGAAACCTGTGGGAGGCACCAAAGTGGGATGGGCGTGGCTTAGGTGCAGTGGGCGGGGCCCTCACCAGTTTCCGTAGGATTGTTTCGGTGCTGTTGAAACTCTTGGAGCTGGGGTGCTCCACGTTCTCCTTGAATTCCAGGTTGGTGATGGTGAAGTTGAGGGTGAAGTGCATCAGAAAAGGGGCCTCTCCTGCAGCCAGGGGGAAGAAAAGGAGACCAGAATTCACCGATGGGATTACCATGGTTAGAATCACATTAATGAGTCAGATCTGGTTTCAAATTCTCTCTTTCCTTTCCCCAGCTGTATGGCCATGGATGTATTACTTTGACTGTACCTCAGTTTTCTCCACTTTAAAAGGGTGAGGATCATACTTTACAGGGCAGTCGTGACGGTTACATGATTGTTAAAAGAGGTAGCACATCTCTGAAGCCCTGTGACGATGCGTGGGGGGAAAAAGCCAATCCCAAAGTTATAGGGTTTGTATGTTTCCATTTGTGTAATGTTTTCAAAGTCAAATTACTGAGCTGGAGAACAGACTAATGGCTGTCAGAGCTCGAGCTGGGTTTGGAGTAGTTTTGTATCTTGATTGTGGTGGTGGTAGTTAGAGGGAATCTGCCCACGCGATAAAAGGGTGTCGAACCACAAATGCATACAGACACACACATATCCGCATGTGAAATTTGATGAGGTCTCACAGATTCTAAGAATATTGATTTCCTAATTTTGATATCTTACTAAATGTACCTACGGGGAGGAAACTGAGTGTAGAATATAGGGGAACTCTGTATTATTTGTTCAGTGTCTCCTGAATCTATAACTATCCATTCAAAATGAAAACTTCAAAAAGGATATAGTACAGGGCTGGGGATTTAGCCCAGTGGCTCCACCACCTGCCTCACAAACGCAAGGACCTGAGTTCGATTGCCGGTACCACAAAAGGATATAGTAGTGCTGAATATTCTGGCATTCTTTTGTTAGCATTACAATTATCAATTGTGATTGTATCTTCCATTTCAGGCTGATTGGTGAAGGACTACATCTGACTTACTAAACATCTAATCCTCTATGCCTAGTACTGAATAGATTAGCAATAAATATTGGTTGAATTGAATTCCCTGGTAGTTACTGTACTAAATTCTTAAATATACAGTTAGCATCATTTAGAGATGGGCTATGTTATGAGAAATGTATGGTGAGATGATTTCATCAGTGTGGCAGTACTACAGAGGGCACTTCGGCAAGCTGAGACAGTGTTGCCAAGTCATAACCTTATGGGGTCACCATCACATGTGTGATCGTCCTGGATAAAAATATTATGTGGCACACGACTATTTTTCATTTGATGTTCAAAACAAATTTATGAGATATAAATCGCCTTGTTTGGCAGGTAAGCAAAGTAGGCTACAGAGAGGAGGTAAGTAAACTGCCCATGGTTCTCCAACACAGCTGGAGAAATGAAGACAACAGCCTGTATTCTTGAGATTTCAGAGCACGGCAGGAGGTGCCCATGACATTTTCAGGCTCCCTCAGGCCACCTTTTCTCAACATCTCCCAGGTATGCTCTTTAACGCTGGGTAGGTTGACATCCCAGAAGGAGAAAGAATTCATCTACCTGTGGAGGTGGTGAAGTGGCCTTGCACTGAGGAAGTCCATGGTAAGAGGGTAGAGGTCACAGCAGCTAAGGACGAACAGAATAGAGTGAGCAAGGGTAGAGTCTGGACATGGTCACTACCATGAGAATCTTCTCTGTCCACCGTGGGCTACTGAGTGTATAGGGGGTGGTGGGACAAAATGGCCCCTTGCTTTCTTTTCTCCCCAGGGACTCAGCTGCTGTTTACAAGGGATTTGGTGAACGCGTGATCACCAGAGGTGTAAATACTCACTGCTAGGAGTGGGAGGAGAAGCTTGAAAGGTATAACCTGCAATGAGAAAAGAAGGCACAATTGGGATAAATCACGGGAAACATGTCCAAGACACAGGCTGAGAAACATCAGCCCCCACCTCCACCTAAGACTTCAAGTCCACACAGTTGGACATTTTTGATGTAGGAACACTTATGATGCATTTTGTTCCTACAGGCAGACTGCCTGAAGGTTCAATTCCTGTCTTTGTGGGCTTACAATTTATTTGAGGAGATAAACATGCACAAATTTCTAGCACATGAATGTGCAAACTATGCTTTTAAAGGGCTGGAGTGGGTTGTGAGGCATAGAGGAGTACAAATATGATTGGTCGGACTCTTGAATACACATTGACTTCAGCCTCAGGGATTTCCTCTTCCACGTGTCTGGAGAAAGGCTCAGACAAATGTACAAATCACAGCCCAGGAATGCAGAGATACAAAGGACCTGCAAACTGGAAGCCTTACAGGTGTCCTTAGTCATCCAAGGAGAGCAACCAGGTGGAAGATAATACCTAGGATTGGGGTGTGGGCAGGCTGAAGAGCCCACACCTCTTCTTGGGGGTAGATTCTCAGCTTCGGGTCATGGTTACTGAAAGGTTTCTCACCATTGACGTAGAGACTGTCCTTGTCTAGGGCGTAGGAGCCCAGCTCAGTGACACTGTGGGTCTCATGGTTCAGCTCCCAGTACAGCTTCTTCCTGTCCAGCTCGCGGCCCATGGGATCAGGATGGTAAGTGCAGACAGCATCCACTCCAGTGGCTGTTTTGTCTTTCTCAGGCCTGGGTAGGGAGGGACATAGGGATGGGGAGTTGGAGACTCTAAGCTATGCCCCTGAGAAGCCCCACTGAGAGAGGGGACAAAGAAAGCAGGAAGACTGGTGGTAATCAAATGGCCTTGATGCTAGAATTGGGCTGGAAAGAAATAGGACGGCCACAGTCACTGAACAAAAAAAGGGATCAACAAGTGTCAATATTTATGCTAAATTTTATTTTTTATCTTTATTTTTGCAGTACTAGGGATCAACCCCAGGGCCTGGCACGTGCTAGGCAATCACTCTACTACCACTGAGCTACATCTCCAGCCCGTGTGGTAAACTTTGACGTTATAAGACATCATACACCCTGGCACCAGAAGCATAGTGAAGGGGTTCGAAGAAATGAATCTAGGAATTTGCCAGTGTGAAGGAAGACAATGGTGACTTTTAAAGTGCCAGTTCTGTTACTCTGGGTAGGTTTCTCAACCTCTCTGTGGTTTATTTTCTTCATCTGTGAAATGAGGCAATAGTAAGGACCCAACAGCCTCTCCACACATATGTGCTCAATAAAAACATGCACACTTATTTCCATGGAAGGAAAGAATTATTTGCATTTTCCAGTCTTGGAAGGAAGGAGACAGCATGGGGGCTGGTGGTCAGTTGTCCCTGGGATGGTGGATGCACGGTAGTCATCTCTCACATAGCACATGACCTACAGGTCACTCTGGAGTGCTCACCTCAGCAGAATCAGCCTGCAGCCAGAATAAAGGGGCCCGATACTGCTCCTCTGGAACAAAGATTTCAGCTGAGGATGAAAGAGAGAGAGAGCACAGTGAGCCAGTGTACCAAAGGAGTAAGGACAAAATTGAGCTGGGATAAGGTAGGCATTGGAGAATTCTTACCAGGCGATTCAAGATCCTCTCTGTGGTGTTGAATAGCTCAGATCCTGGGTGCTCCATGTCCTTCTCATGATACAGGTTGGTGATAGTGAAGTTGAGGGTGAAGGTTACCAGAGGAAGATTTGCACCTACAGTAGGAAAGACAGGAGGGAAGTTCATTATGAGCTCTATACCTGTAGTCAAAGGGCAGATTGTATTAATTTGTTGTACAATAAATATCTAGAAGGTTTTTTTAATCTCTATTGTTAAACAGTAGTTTCCATTTTCCCTTCCCCTCCCCAGCCACTAGTGACCATCACCGTACTTTGTGAGGTTGTCTACTCTATATACCTACTATGAGTAGAATCATATAAGTAAATAAGCTATGACCAGCTTATATCATTCAGAAGGGTGACCACGAGCATCATGGGTCAGAATTTCCATCATTTTGAGGGTTACATAACAGCCACGAAAGATGTCAACTACATATGTTATTGGTTTTGTAATGTTTTAAATTGTGGTAAAATATGCATTATGTGAAACTTACACCTTGACCACTTGTAGGTGTACAGTTCTGTAGCATTAAGTATATTCACGTGTGAAGCTGATGTCCAGAACATTTCCACCTTGCACAGTTGAAGCCCATGTGTCCCAGTTTCCTTCATCCCTACCCTCTAGTAACTGCCACTGTATTTTCTGTTAAGGAGAGTTTGACTACTCACGATACTTCCTATGAAGGGAATCATACAGTTTTTATCATTTTTCTTGTGTCGCTATCTAATTTCCGCTAACATGCTGTCCTCAGAGTTCGTCCATGCTATAAAATGTACCATAATTTCTTTCCTTTAGGGATACAGAATAATCTATTCGTGTCAGTGCACATTTGGGTTGTTTTTACCTCCGGGCTATTGTGAATAATGCTACTGTAAACACAGGTGCACAGAAAGAAATATATTTAAGTTTTAGTTAAATAGACAACATCACTGTGCCGTATCTTTGTCTCCCCTGTGACATAAGCTTAGGGGTTGGCCCAGAGTTAGGCATTTGGGCAGACAGCATAGATCAGGGTACTGAGGCAGGTTCTTGGGACCTCAGGAGCCCTTAGATCCACATCTGGGAAACATGAGGAAACAGAGCAAGAATCAATTTCATGGCTGAGATCATCAGTGCTTTCCTGATGTTCAGTGGAATCTATGAGGGTGTACAGTTACAGTGATGGCTTTGCTCATTCATTGGCTCACTCAGTGAATCTGCAGTGAGTGCTGAATGAGGTGCTCAGTTCCTAAGGGGAAAATACATGAAAACTGAATAAACCAAATAGAAGTAAATTCCATATAGGAAAGTTATCAAGGTGATATGACAGACAAAACCTATGGTCCAGGTGTGAATGCAGGTACAGTACTTTTTCATAAGAGGTGATCCAGAGACAGTGATTCTTGAGCTATGTTTGGTTAATGAGAAGGTACCAGGGATAGCTGGTTTTCAAAGATAGCAAGTGCAAGGGTCCTGAGGTTGGACAGAGGTCAAAGTGCTGGAAGTATAACCAAGTGCTGGGGGTGACCGAAGGTAAGACAGTGGAGGAAAGAGCAAAACAGGCTAAGCTGTGTTGTGAGTGAGGACCAGACCAGGTAACACTGAAGTTTCTTAGCCCCCTAGAGAATGTTCCTACCTGTGGAGCTGGGGATGGAGGATGTCAAAAGTCCTGGAGCTAATGTGCTGGTCACTGGACCTGAGGGAAAAGAACATGGGAAGAATGACTGGGCCCCACCCTAGAAGAATGTAAGGCGAATGCTGTTAATTTGGGCTCTATCTTGACTCAAACCAAGATCTTGGATGTATTACGGAGGTGCTCTGAGGTACATAGAAAGGAGACAGTGTCGGTGTTTGTTCAGAGAATAGAACTCTGGGGAACAAGGTTTCTGGGGGTACTCACCGCTGATAGTAGGGGTCCAGTACTGGCGGTTATAACCTGCAGGTGGGGAGGAAAAAGCCAGGAAGATCTGTTAAGGAAGGTGAGAGTAAAGGGAAGAGAAGATGGTAGACCTAGGATGGAAGTCGTCACGAAACTTCGCGAGATTCATGGATAAACAATAAAGCTACATTTTACTTGTTCCCTCATGTGTCTCATCTTTTTTTTTTTTTTTTTTTTTTTTTTTTTTTTTTTTTTTTTTTTTTTTTTCTAGTACAGAGGATCGAACTTGGGTCCCTGCACTTGCTAGGCAGGCAGCGGAACCACTGAGCTAAATTCCCAGCCCTTCTGTCTCGTCTCTTGATAGCAGTGACAAACCATCATCATCATCATCATTTTTACCAATACGATGCAAGAAGAGTTTCCTGCGTTGACCAAGAGGGACACACTCTCCACCAGCAATAACACTTCCCAGGCTACAAGGGTAAAACACACTCATTTATGAATGAGAGTGCATGATCGATGCCTTTATAGTCTCTCTGTCTGTCAAGGTAATTTCATCCTGTCTTTGTTATCTCCATTACTTTCCTTCACAAAATATTATGACAGTATAATTTCTCTTTAGTTCCGTTTCTGGTTTTTCTTTTTTTTTAAAAAAAAATTTAATAAATTTTATTTTCTTGTATCCCATCCCCCCGCCTCCTCAAATTTCTGTTTTTTTTTTCTTTCCTGTGATGCAGAACTGACAGAATTGTGGCAGGCTGACAGTGGGGCACAGGGAGGTGGAAGTACAGAGAGACGGGAGAAAAGAATGCTTGGGATGTTAGGGGAAATTCGAGCAAAGGGATGGGATAATGTAAGAAGAGAGCTCTAGGGGTTGGATGTGATTACAATGGGAACCTAAAAGGAATTAGGGAAAACAGCATTTTTCACGAGTTTCTTTTCTTTCCAGTTTATTGACATCATTTCTTCTGATCTGCATGGAGAGATGAAAATAAATACTGGCCCTAGAGGAACCCTATAATTTACTGGGGTTACTCCCAAGCTATCTCACTGTGTTACCAGAACGATCCCAGTGGTGTTTCATTATATTCTGCAATGGCACCACTAAAATCTAGAGGGATTCCATAGCACTTTGAGCATCACACAAAACAAATCCGTCATTTCAAGAGATCCGCTCCGTTTACCCCTGCTCTAAATGAGCTCCGATTTTGGAGAACATCTTTTATGGACACAGAACAGGATGTCCTCTAGACAATCATAGTAAAATACAAACTTCAAACCAGATATAACAGAAATATCCAAGTAGATGTAGAAGAAAAATAAATATTCCTGCATTGGGTCAGGATGTTGTGGGCCCTTTACTGCCCCGGCCTGTCCCGGTAGCTTGGGCTTGCTCTGTTTGTACAATCAGCAGTGTTGACTTGTGGTCAGGAGTCTGGGACTTCGGTAAGTCTCCAACCTTTGGGGTGAGTTTTCATTCTGCCATGTGTTACATCGGGACGATCCCAGGCCAGTGACTCTCCCTGTATTGTCCCTGAGAAAAACTAAGGCCCTTGGCAACATGTCACTGAAACACCCTCTTCTGTGTTCCCCAAACTCCTGCCAAGCCAAAGAGACATTGTAAGTGGACAAGGACTAGGATATCCAGATTGGAATTACCCGAGGGATACTGGGAACCGGGTAAACTAGTGTTATCCGTAGAAACTGCCATCTTGCCTGAATGCTAAGTCAGCTGTTCTTTGAAGTGCTGGTTATACGCTGGGAAAAGCAAGGTCATGATGTCACTGCTATGTAATTCACACCGTAAATGCACCCTTTTTGCTGTAGCTGGGTGGGCAGTGGAGTAACTTGCAGTGCTGCCATTCAGCCAGCCAGCACTGGACACTTAGAGTTCCCTCTGGAGATTTCCTTGTCTGCCTGCTGCCACCACACTGGTGGATTCCTGTCTGGTTCACTACCCTCCGACGACATTGTGCTGATTAATAGTCCAGCCTGTGGCCACTGGATATTTCAAATACCTTCTAGTAACTTTCTTATCTAGCCCAAGACCACTGGGCTCTATCCTTTTCTGCTAGAAAGGCTCTTTTCATTACCTGATGATATTTTAATAAACCTTATCTCTCACAAGCCATCTCTAGGTATTTTCTCTGGTCTCTGGGGAACTTAATTCATGGCCGCAGCACGTCTTGGCCACAGCTGAGATATTCCCTGAATTCATGAGGGTTCTAGGTTAAAAAAAATATCTAGATATATATATCTGTCAACCCACAGAGAATTGGATGAGATTAACATGAGATAACACAAATAAAGTTTGTATCACAATTCCTTGCACAGGAATCTTTCAATAAATATAAGTTGCTATTCTTTGTGTCAGTATTGCTATGAGTGCTGTAAATGATGTGTCCACAGTTGCTATTCGAAGTGTGTTTACTAAAGGTGATAATGTTTCACAAAATCAGTGTAGTTCCAGGTGGCCCGTGGAACTAAGAATTTCCCTTAAGTTGTCATAGCAACGAAAAAAGAGTGGAAGGAAGGTGGATTGAGCACCCCCAAAACATTGAGGAACACTTCATCAGGGCCCACCACCAGTCCATTCTCCCCCCAAAGATCTGCATGTTTAAGACAGGCTCTTATGGGAAGCAGAAGGAAATACAGGTGAGGAGCAATCACTTCATCCCAAAAGGAGGAAAAGATATCAGCTCCTTTGGTGAGTTAAGCATTAAAAAATGACTCCCTAAAGAGACTGCGCCCAAACTACAAGTTTGTGTGCAGAAATTTTTCAACTCTGCCACCGCTGACATTTTGAACTAGTTAATTCTTTATGGCTGGCTTGCACTTAGTGGGATGTCTAGCAGCATCCTGGCCTCTACAAGATAGGAGCCATTAGCACCATGCTAGTCATGACACGAAAATATCTCCAGACATTGCCAAACGTCCCCTGTGATGCAAAATTATCCCCACTTGAGAACTACTGGCATAGAGAGATCTGAGATTGTAGGAGACTCCAGATGCAGCAGGGACCCTCACCGTTGACATAGAGGCTGTCTCTGTCTAGGGCATAGGAGCCCAGCCTGGTGACACCATGGGTCAGCTGGCTCAGATGCTGGTACAGTTGTTCTCTGTCTAGAGCTGGGCCCATGGGGTGAGGTTGGTAGGTGCAGACTGCATCCACCCCAGTGGCTGTCTCATTGTTCTCGTTCCTGGAGTGACGGGGACATCGAGAGAGAGAGAGAGAGAGAGAGAGAGAGAGAGAGAGAGAGAGAGAGGAGAGAATTATACACACCTTCAAACTGGTACCATTTGTTTTTATTCTATCTCACTTGGTCTTAGCCACAAGGCCAAGAAGTGATGGTTTTATTCTATCTTGTATTTTGTGTATTGTCTGTTTTCTCCATCATATTCTCCTCTGAGTTTTCTTTATCGAGGTCTGCTCTACTCTGTAATAAAATTGATCTCCAGAGCCTCAACCTGAATCAACTTCACTGTTCTTGTCCCCATTCTTCTGGGGTCGTTTGGTTCATTTTCATTGCATCAAACACCAGCTCTGTTGTCACGAGGCCCGGTGTCACTCTGAATGAGATGATACTCCAGAGCTCTGTCTCGTGTAACCAAAAGCCTCAGGGATGTCCTTGAGACCCCGTGGGTCCCATGTATCTCAAGTCAAGCTTACTATCCACACCATTACCAAAGCTTTTCTTCTCCCCATGATTCCATGCCAGGATGGGAACCAGACATCACGGAGTCTCCTGGACCTTCCTCTCTCTCTTCATGGCCAAGGTTGTCCAGGCCCAGTCTGTCTTCCTGTGGTCTATCCAACGTCTGTGCACCATCATTTTAACCATCCCTGCTTACATTTGTGAACGCTCTACTTCATATAAATCTCATCGCGTTGGGGCTGCATTTCCAACAACACCATGGTTCCCCCCCCAGTTTGAATAAGTATGACTAATATTTATGAAATACCAGGTGTTAGTATTTATGAGTCGCCTACCCACAGATGTTAATATTTATGGAATGTCTACCAGGTGCACATTTTATATTTGTTGTCTCACTTTATCCTTTGAACAGCTCTGAAGCAGATGCTAATGTGATTCCCATTTTATTTTTAATTTACACCTTTATTGAAATATGATTTGATTTATATATGTATTATATATACATATATATATATATATACATATTCTAAAATGATTGCCTATAGAGTTGAAGAAAAAATGGAAACAGAGTTTTTGTAAATGGGAAGGGTGAAGGGTTGAAAGAAGGAGAGAGATATGGGAAAATAATTTATATATATATTATGTATATATATGTATATATGTTATGTATGCATATATCTATATCTACCTATCTATATATTTATATATATAATGTATAGGTACAGATTCCTCAGGATAAAAGTGATGAGTATGCATGGCCAACATGTACTAATAAAATAAATAAGTTTAAAAAATGTAATTGATAACTCACAGTCATGCTATTAACGTATCCGTCACCTCGCATAGTTTTTTCTGCCGTGTGTGTGCTGAGAACACTTAATATCCACTCACTTAGCTAAATTTCAAGTATACAGAGCAGCATTAGCCATAGTCATTCTCATTTTCCAATTGGGAAAACTAAGTCATGTAGACATTAAACATCTTACAGCAGGTGACAGAAGCAGGATGTGACTTCGTGCATTTGACACTAAAGACCCCTCATGCTTAATCCGGTTGCTGTGTAAAATATTGTGAAAACTCCTTCAGGCTCAACTCCAGCATGAACTCTTGACGGATTCAATAATACTGTGATTCACCCTCTGCTCTTGCTGTTATGATCTGAGCCATCCACTCAGCCAGTCCTCTAATCAACCAATCTACTTCCCTTCCTGCCCCCTTTTCTTTCTTTCTTACTATTTCCTCCTCACTTCCCTTCCCTCTTCCTTCTTTTCTACTTTCCTCCCTTCTTCCTTCATTCCTACCCTCTTTCCTCCCTCCCTGCCTCCCTTCCTTTCTTTGTTTCTAATTCATTCATTTTCTATTTTCTCCCTCTCTACTCTCCAATTTCGCAGACCTTTTCTCCTGTACTGGGCTATTTCTCACATGCTCCATTATGCCTGACAGGCCATGCCTTGAAATAATATCTTCGCCCATCTTCTCTCAGGCCAGTGTACGCCCAACTATCAGAACTGCCTCAGCTGTCATCTTCTGCAGAGACCCTCCACCCAGCTTCCTCAGAGTGAGCTAAAATCCACCCTCTGGGTCCCTTGTAGTCTAATGGTCACACTGGCCCTGCTGTCCTCTCTACGTGGTGGCACTATTGAGGGGATGTGTCGCGGCCAATTCCGTTAGTGTCCTTCACACTCATACAGGAGGTGACCTGAGGTGCTTCATTCCGTGTTTGCTTGCTGAGCTAATGTTGCCCTTTTGATCAGTGAGCCTGAATGCTTCACACTTCTGCTTATCAAGTAAAGATCACTGATAGTCACCTTTCTCAGGAATCCCTGTCTAGTACTGTCAGCGTAGGACAGTACCTTCCATGTCTGGATTCCTGGAAAGTCCTAGTCGTTTATGATCTGTGCCACTTAGGCGCCTCACATAGGTCCTCTCCTTCAGGTGAGCTTCCCCGAGACAGCACAGTCCTTCACAAGGTAAGGAAAGGAAGCCTCACCTGAGCAAGGTCAATCTACAGCCCGAGTAGCCAGTGCCGATGCTGGTGTTCTTGAACAAGGGCTCGAGCTGGGAGGAAAGCACGAGATAAGTGGGGAAAGTCAAGGGGATTGGGTGGAGCAAGGACAGGGTGGGGCAGGGTAGGCACTGGTGGGCTCTTACCAGGTGGTTCAAGACCTTCTCCGTGAAGTTGAAGTTCAAGGAGCCAGGGTGGCCCATGTCTGGAGTGTAATGCAGGTTGGTGATTGTGAAGTTGAGTGTGAAAGGCACCAGGACCGGCCTGAATCCTACAGCTAGAGAGAGAGGGGAGATAGAATGAGAGAGAACCCATCATTGGGAGAGCCCATCATTTTGGTCCTGAGCAAGAGGTGGGACTGAGATTAACACCGTAATCATGGTCACAGGGTCCAGTAAGTGAAGACTAGTATATCCCATTTGGACCACCCTTCAGCCAATCAGAGGAAGGGGAAAGACCTGCACAGTAGATGTGTAACTTTAGCTCAAAAGCAAACCTTGCTCCTCATCCCAGAATGGCCAAAGACTGGTGTAGATATCCCATTGTTAACAGGAGAAGCCAAGGGGCTGGTGGGAGAGAGCTCAGCTAGCATGCACAAGGTCCTGGCTTTGCCTCCTAGCACCACAAAAGTGAAAAATGAAGAGGAGGAACCAAAAGCTTTACTTCTCAGGCTTTGAGCAGTTGAGAAGTCCAAGTGGTAATCACTACCCTGAAGGAAATAAGCATAGAGAAAATAGAGACTCTCTGCTTGGGAAACTTGTGTATGGGGAAAATGCTACTTTATGGAAAGTGATCTGAACAAAGACATGCTGAGCTGAGCTTTGCAGGACCAGAAAGAGCCGGAAGCAACTGAAATCCAGGAACAGCAAGTGTCATGGCTGTGGTGATGGAAGAATGGACCATAGAGCAGCAGAAATGAGCTGAGTGTGGCTAGGGAGGAGGGAGCAAGGGCAAGAGTGGGCAGGCTAAGGCTGAGGCTGGGTGGACATTAGGTCCAGATCATGTGAGAATCCATCAGCTTCTGAAAAGGAGTTGAAGTTTCATGGGGTCTAGAGGTCAGATTCTTACCTGTAGAGCTGGGCATAGGGGTCATGGGTGTGGGGGATCCTAGAGAAAATGTAAAAATGAAACTGCTAAATGGTACACCTACAATGCTTAAATGTCATATTTTGCAGCACACACACACACACACACACACACACACACACACACACACACCCCAAAACAGTTATTCTTACTTGTTCCTGAAGTCACAGTCTCAGAAGCCAAAGTATACATCGCAGGTGTGGTCTCTGAGGCAAAGGGACTTGCAGCTATTGTAGTACTGAAGGTAGTTGTGATCTCACCTGTGGCGGGACTTGAACCTGTGGCAGTTAGATGAGTGGTCTCCACAGTTGTAGTTTTCAGTGTAATGGTTGGACTTACTCCTCCATGACTGGTTGTAGGTAGTATTGGGGACTCCGATGTTATCAAGGTCATAGTGGGGCCTGCAACAGTTTTGGAAGAATCTGGGAGTCTGGATGAAGTTGCAGGTGGTGAGGTTTCTGTGCTCCCAGAAGTTATGGTCTTAGGCTCACCTGTTGCTGTAGGGGCACTGGAAAGCCAAGGGATACTGGGGGAGGCAGTGAGAGTTGGAATGCCCGTGCTGGCCTCTGGTGAAGGGCTGGTGACCCCTACACTGGTGGCCTCTGTTCGACCGGAGAAAAGGGTTGCAGTTGGAGTCCTCGCGCTGGTCTCTGTCCCAGGATGAGCAGACAATGAGGCCGTTTCCACAGGAATACCAGGTGAAGCTGTTGGACCTAGATCAACTCTACCCATCTCGGTCACAGGAGAGGTGAAGAGAGAAGTTTCTGTCTCTGGTTCACCAGGGGAAGCAGTCTGACTTGAAAGAGCTGTGCTAATCTCTACCTCAGGTCTGATGGACAGTGAGGCTGTGGTCTCCAATTCAGGAGGAAAGATGGTTGAAACAGGAAAATTTGTACTTGTCTCTGCACTGGAGTGGGTGGTTATCAAGGCCGTGGTTTCTGTTTCACTAGGAGATATAGTCAAAGTTGGAATAGTTGTACCGGTTAGTGGCCCAGTAGTGACCTGAGAGGTTATCACACCTGGTTCCCCACGTGAGAGAGTCATTGTTGGCACAGGCAAACTGGATTCTGCTCTAGGACTGCTGGCCATTGAGGGTGTGGTGTTTGATCCACCATGGGAAAAACTGGAGTTTGTTCTGGAAGCAGGTGTAATGGTTTCTGAAGAATGAGTGATGGATGAGGTTGTAGCTGGTCCACCAGAGAAAACAGTGAGAGTCAGAACAGCAGGACTGCTCTGTGCCCTAGGATAGGTGACTGCAGAAGCTGTGGTCTTTGTTTCGCTAGGAGAAAGGGTCGCAGTTGAAGTAGCCACACCTGTGTGTGTCCCAGAGTTAGTAACCCGTGGTGTGCCAGGTGAGATAATTGTAGTTGAAACAGGTGAACTGGGTTTTGCCCCAGGGCTGGTAGCCATTGAGGATATGAAGTGTGATTCACTCTGGGGAGACTCTGGGGCTGTTCTGGAAACAGGTGTCCTCGTCTCTGCAGAATAAGTGACCAAGGAAATAGTTGTATCTCGCTCACCATGCAAAACAGTCAGAGTTGGAACAGTTGGACTGGCTTCTGACCCAGGATGGGTGACCCATGAGGCTTTAGTCTTTGGTTCTTGTGAGTAATCAGTCAACTTTGGATAAGTCATACTTGTCTCTGTCCCGGAACTAGTGACTAATGTGGTCACGCTCCCTGGTACACTAGAGGAAGCAGCTACAGGTGGAAGGGATGAACGTGGTCCGGGATGAGTGACCAATAAGGCTGTGGTCTCTGGTTCACCAGGAGAATGAGCCACAGCTGAAGTACTTGTGCTGATTATAGTCCTAGAACTCGTGACCAGTGAGGTCACCACCCGTGGTACCTCAGGTGAAATGGTAGAAGTTGGGACAGCTGAACTGGCTCCTGCCCCAGGGCTGGTAGTCTTTGAGGGTGTGGTGTCTGGTACACTATGGGGAAAATAGGGGATTGTCCTGGAAACAGGTAGGCTGGCTGCTTCAGGATGAGTGACCCATGAGGCTGTTGTATCTGGCTCACCAGCGGAAGTGGACAGAGTTGGAAAAGCTGAACTTGCAACTGACCCAGGATAGGTCACCCACGAGGCTGTTGTATCCAGTTGTTTTGGGGAAACAGTGAGAATTGGAGTAGTTGCACTTTTCTCTGTCTCAGAGCTAGTGGCTGGTGAGGTCGTCTCTAATCTGCCAGCTGAGACAGCTGGTGTTGGAATGGCTGAACTTGTCTGTGTCCCAGCAGAGGTGACCAACGTGGTGGTGACTGCTGGTTCACAAGGAGAAGGAGTCAGAGTTGGTTTAGTTGTGTTGGCATCTATTCCAGAAGTAGGGACCTGTGAAGTCACCGTCTCTGGAACACCAGATGAGATAGTTGCACTTGAAACAGCTGAAGTAGATCCTGTCCCAGGAATGATGATTGTTGGGGTTGTGGAGTGTGTTTCACTAGGGGAAGAACTCAGGCTTTTTGTGAAAACAGTAGAGCTGGTCTCTGCAGGGTGGGTGACCAAGGAGAAAGTTGTATCTGGCTCACCCGGAGAGACAGACAAAGTTGGGACAAAAGAACTGGCTTCTGATCTAGGATGGGTTACCCGTGAGTCTGTGGTCTGTTGTTGGCCTGGGAGAACAGTGAAAGTGGGAAACATAGTGGACTCTGTTCCAGAACTAGTGACCAGTGAAGTCAGCAACCCCACACCGGAAGTTGAGACAGCTGAAGTGGCTTCTTCCCCAAGCCCGGTGGCTGTTATAGGTATGGTATTGGATTCAGTATGGAAAAAAATGGGAGTTGTCCTGGGAATTGTTCGGCTGGTCCTCGCAAGAAGAGGGACTGACGAGGCTGTGGTATCTGGCCCACCAGTTGAAACAGACAGAGTTGGAGCAGCTGAGCTGGAAATTGCCCCAGGATGGGTGACCCCTGAAGATGTAATCGTTGATCCAGAAGAAGAAAGAGCCAGAGTTGGAGTACTTGTACTGGCCACTGCTGTAGATCTAGTGACCAATGAAGTCATCATCCCTGAGACCTCAGGTAAGACAGAAGAACTTGAGACAGACGAACTGGCTTCTTCCGCAGGACTGGTGGCTGTTAAGGGTGTGGCACTGGATTCACGATGAGAAAAACTGAGGGTTGTTTTGGGAACAGCTGAGTCAATCTCTGCTGCATTGGTGACCAGTGAAGCTATTGTATATGCCTCACTCGCTGAAACAGTCAGCGCTGTTGCAGCAGAACTGGCTTCTGATTCAGGATGGGTGACCCATGAGGCTGTGGTCTCTGTTGGCCCTGGGGAAACAGTCAGGACTGGGACTATGCTGTTCTCTTCTACAGAACTAGTGACCAGTGAAGTCATTGTCCCTGGTACACCAGGGGAGACAGGGAGAGTTGGACTGGCTGAACTAGTCTGTGGCCCAGGATGGGTAACCAATGAGGATGTGGTCTCTGGTGTACTGGCAGAAATAGTTGGATTTGGAATACTTGTAATGGTTGCTATTCTGGAACTAGTGGCCAATGAGGTCACTGTATTTGTTCCACCGGGTGCAACGGTGGAAGTGGAAACAGCTGAACTGGTTTCTTTCATAGGACTGGTGGTTGTTTTGGGTGTAGTGTTGGATTCACTATGGGGGAAATGTGGGGCTGTCCTGGGAAGTGTAGGGCTGATCTCTATAGAATGCGTAACCCATGAGGTTGTTGTATGTGATCCACCAGGCAAAATAGTCTGAGATGGAAGTGCTGAACTGGCTTTTGTTCCAGATTGGGTGACCCTTGAAGCCGTGATATCCATCTGATTTGGAGAAACAGTCAGACTTTGGCTACTTGTGCTTGTGTCTGTCTCAGAACTACTAACCAGTGATGTCACCATCTCAGATACACCAGGTGAGATAGTTGGACTTGGAGTGGTTGAACCTTGTGCTCCAAGATCAGTAGCTAAGGAGATTGCGCTCTCTTGTTCATCGGGAGGGGTCAGAGCTGGTTTAGTTGAGGCAGCGTCTGTCCTAAAAGTAGTGACCCATGAGGCTGTGAACCCTGGGGTGTCAGGTGCGACAGTGGTTGTTGGAGTGGCTGGACTTGTTTCTGTCCCAGGACTGGTGTCCACTGAGAGTGTGGTATCTGATTCAGAATGCGGAAATTTGGAGGTTGTTCTGGCAACTGGTATTCTTGTCTCTGCCGGGTGAGTCATCAATGAGACCACTGTGTCTGACTCACCAGGGGAAGCAGTCAGAGCTGGAGTAGCTGGCCTGGTCTCTGCCCCAGAACTGGGGACCACCAAGGAAGTGGTCACTGGTTCTCTACTGAAAGGAGATGGAGTTTCCTTGGAAACTGTTATGCTGGTATCTTCTCTAAGTCGGGTGGCCAGTGAGGTTGTCACCCCTGGAACACCGGGAGAAAGAGTTGAGGTTGTAATGGTCATTCCTCTTAGACTTGTGCTGGCTGATGTTGGGATGAGGAGTGTTCTCAAGGTGGAAATGGAGACCCTAGGGGTCACTGCGGCTATGGAGGTGGTCTTCAGAGCCATGGCAGTTGTCTCTGTGCTTTTAGTTCCTCCTGTGGAAAGTCCTGGGAGTTGGGGGATGCACACAATTTGGACAAAATTATTACAATTACTAGACTGGCTATAGTATATATTTTTACACACAAGGAAGGGGAGAGAAATCTGTCTCAGTTATCTGAGATGTGTCCGAGATATCCCTGGAATGGGAAGGGGGATTGTGATTGGTATTCTCCTAACTTACTTACCTGCCAGTCTTGAGCTACAGTTTCTCCTAAATTTGAGAGCACACTAGTCTACTCCCTGTTCCCAACTGCTCTTTGCACTACCCAGCCCTTCAGCCCCTTGTCTTTGCCAGGCGCACTGTACCGTGGGCAGGTCCCTTACTCAAACTCAGGTTCAAATCCATATCAGAATTCGCCTCCACCTTTGCCCTATTACCTTATGACACCGTCAGAACCTGTCTTGTACTGTCCTTGAAAGTCTGGGTGGTAACGGCTATTAATGTGTGCCTGCTGACCAGACAGCAGGAGGAAGTTTTTGTATCGTGTTCTTGAGAGTTTGTGCTCTGGAATAACACAGACCCATACTAACATGGTCTTTTTTCACCACAGAAGTGTGCAGCTGTTTAGGTCGCCGAACTGTCTTACATATGTATTTTCTCATCTGTAAAGTGTAGCTAAGTACAGTGGCGGCCTCCGAGTTCCACTACCAGAGGTGGTCAGGTGAACGGGACACAGCCTTCCACAGAGAGTAAAGTAGCGTGGACAAAGACGGCTGCTAATCATGGGGGATTCAGAAAATGGCTCCTAGGGAAGAGGGAGGCGACTCTGCGAAGAACACGGAGGCTACCGTAGATTGGCAGAGATTGGAAGAGGCACCACGAAGGGGATTTCACTCTCGTGGTGGAGCCATGATGTTTTGAAACGCACTGCGTCTACTCAGTGATGGTGCTGGTGGGAGTGGTGAAGAGGAGCAGAAGGAAAAAGAACAGTGAAGAAGAGGAAGGCAAGGAAGAGAGGAGGCAGAGTGGGAGAAAGAGGAGGAGGACGGGAGGAGGAGGGGCATGGGGAAGCGGGAAGAGAGAACAGGAAGAGAGAGGAAGTAGGGGATGGGGAGGCGGAGGGGATACAGAAGCTGAGGGACAGGAGGGAGAGAGCGGGGATAGAAGGAGAGGAAGAAAAAAGGGGTGAGGAGGATTAGGGGAGGGGAAGGGGGATGATGAGGGAGAGTAAGGTCGAGAAAGAAGAAAAGGAGGAAAAGGGTGGTAGGAAGAGGCAGGACAGGACGAGGGAGAATGGTTGCCAAGACGTTTCGTACCATTGCTTTGAGCCTCCCGAGAACACTAAATGGCACGTGCTGCTGTTCTCATTATTTTGCCAGAGAGAAAGATGCGAACTCAGCAGTCGTAACCTGTCCGAGTCAAAACGTCTGCCTGCTGCGGAAATCCGAATGTAGTTCTTCCTGAGTTTTAAACCTATATTCCGAGCGACGGCATTGTATTAATTCCCTAACTGAATTTCAGGGTCGTGGGGCCAGGATGGAAAGAGAAGAAAATGTTGTCCTAGTGACAGGTCTTGGCCAGCGTTTTCTAGATCAGCAGTTCTGAACCAGGGGTAGGCTTGCCTCCAGGGAAGGCTTAGTGAGGCCTGGAGACATCTGCGGATGTCGCAGGCAACCGTGTGCATGTAGGGCGTGCTACTACACATCCTACAAGGCCCAGCATACCCCCTTGCCACAATCACCCGCCCCAAATGTCAATAACACAGAAGTCGAGGAACTCTGCTCTGTATTAAATGAAGGATACTGTTGACAGTCCACCTTGAATTTTGCCACCTGACCATCGGGCGTCACCTGAAGCCTGGTGCTGCATTTTCTGGTGACTCGATGTGGCCGACAGTTGAGGGGCCCGTTATGTCCCCATGCAAAGCGTGCACTACAGCTTTTACGACTCTACTCCGAGAGCTGTTGCCCATCCTGCTTCAGGGGCAAACTGGAACTTCCGGGGGTTCTTACCCTCAGGAGCACGCAGTTCACAGTGGTGACCGGTGGGAACTGGATACCTAGCCCTGCCACCATGGCCCTCAGGTAGGGTGATGCAGAGTTTCTCAGAAGTCTTCAGAGGAATGGGTACTCTGTTGCCTACAACTATAATTTCTCAAGAAAGCACCTTCTCTTAGATTCCTTCTCTTCTATTAGTGCCTCCTAACACCATCCCCAGTTTAAGAGAAATCACTTGTCCCTACATTGCTGATTCATCGCCTACTTCTTGGAATAAAGAATGTAAGGTACTTGGACCACAGGATAAAACCAATTGCCTTATTGGGAGTTGACTCTGTCCAAAGCCTAGATCTTGGGAAACTCTTCAAAATGGGTTGGTAAAATAGTTTTGTCTCTAAACAATGCCCGAGGAAATTTATGGATATGGGAAACATCCCGATTTTGCCCCATGATAAGGAGGACTCCTTGCTACATACACCCAAACTTTTAAATATTTGCATAGAGCAAGGAAACCATTAGGTATCTTTCAGAGGAACAGGTTACAATGTCAAATAATGGTATTAGACCAAGGCTTAGGCAAAACCTAGCAAGTTTCTTTACAGTAGGACTTCTTGTTGCCTTCAATACATGTATGCATATGATGACCCTCTAAGAAGAAGCAATATGTTTGCTAAACTTTTTTTTTTTTAGGTATTGGGGATTGAACTCGGGTCCTTATGCTTGTGAAGCAGGTGGCAGGACCACTGAACTAAATCACTGGGCCAACGTTTGCTAAACGTTTGAACACATATTTTCTTATCCTTTTGTTAAAAGATACCCAGGTATCACCAAAGCTTAGGAGGTTTCCTGAATGTTGTTTTATGCCCACACTTGTCTTCATCTGTCACCCATCCCCTTACATTTCACATTTGAGCAAAGGTGAATTTTTTTTTGTAATTCCCAAATATTCCTGGGTCTCATTCTTCTTTATCATTTAACATGCCATTGTACTCTCCATGCAGAAAGTTTTCATCAACTCTTTCTGTCTTTCTAGTAAACTCCTATTCAACCTTTAAAACCCAATTCTCACATTACCTCCTCAGCGATACCTTCCCTCTATAGTTCAGTACGTGTCCATTACATGCTTGTAAAGTTGTATCATGGTTATTTTGTTCCTCTGCTATTTTTCCTCTCAGACTCAGGGCTCCCATAGAGGGAGTGCCAAAGCATTTTAATCTGTGCACCATCCGCTAATAGTATGGTCTCTGACACATACTTATTAATAAATATTTGCAGAGTTAAGCTAACTTATGTCAAATTTGTTAGATTGGTATATCTGACATTGAGCTAAACTCATGCAACATGCTATGTCTAAAGTAAAAAGTGGTAGCACCCGCAGATATCTAGGTCAGACAGACAAACTCACGATAGTCACAGATAGTTCTCCTGAGAAAGTAAGAATTTTGTCTCTCTGGGACAGCAAATAAGGTCACCAATGGGATTACTCGGAAGTAAGCAAAATCTACCTTCGGGACTAGCAGGTGTTGTGGGTGCCAGAGGGCCCTCGATTGGCTGCATGGTGCCTCTGTGTATGGCTTCACTGGGTAGCTGTGTGTTGCGTTCCACGATGCTTTTGGTTCCTGTGAGTGAGGGCGAGAAGAAAACCAGGATAACTCATCTCATTCAGGAGGGCGTGCTGTCTACATGGGTCCACTTCTCTGACTAACCCTCTGCTCTTGGGTCTACCCGTAGCAACTCGAGCCAGGGCTACTCCCTATAAACAACCGCATCCATCCAGAGACCCATGCATCTACCCATAGGTGCGTCCATCTTTCCTTCTATCCACGTCTGCATTTGAGCAGATTTTCTTCCTTCACTACCTTCTTTTTTCCTTCCTGTACACCGACCATTCTTCAGTTCATCCTCTGTCCCTTATTTCCTTTCTTAGTTTCTCTTTTCTCTAATCTTTACTTCATTTTATCCTTCCTTTCATATTTTCTGTATTTATTTATTTCAGTCCTTCCTCCTTTTAATCCCTCCTTCTATTCAGCCATTTAAAAAATGTATCACAGTGAAAGGTGTATTGTCATGGGTCCCCCTCAGTAGTCCCATTATTCTTGTTACTTCTGGAAGCAGAACTGGAAGTCTTCTTTCATGTGTTTTATAGGGTGTGATTAAAAAATATGGTGGATACTGCTGCTGAGTGCTGTGCGATGAAAAGGCAGGCTTGTAAAAATATTATGATGCGTCCTCACGCACCTTATTCAGTGAATGTGGCTCCATGAGGCTTCTGGCTCTTCCCCACAGTCAAAACGACCGTGAGAGGTAAATGTTTTAAGTTGATTCAGAACATGGAGGCAGCCATGACAGCAGAAATAAAGACACTGATGAGAGAGGACTTCCAGGACTGCTTCAGAAAGTGGTAAGAATTATGGGACAAGTGTATTCAAAGCAAGAGGGAGAATTCTGATTAATGGCAATGCATTTTTATGGTAATAATATTTTAGTTTAAACATTTGCCATATTTTTCAATCGCAATTTGTATTTTTTTGGCTATTTTTTTTTTTTTTTTTTTTTTTTTTTTTT